GCAAAAGCAGACACAGAAGTGGGGCAGTAGAGCTGTGGAAAGATTGCTCTCTCATCTCCTCCTTTTGACAGATTTATTCCCTATTCCCAAATTAAGGTCTACTGTACAGTAGATATGTCAGTTAAAGCAGCACTTTGTACCTTTTTCTGTGTTCAAAATTTGCAAAATGTATATAATGAGCGAGTACATCATGAATTCATCTTCCAAACCGCGTTTTTGTCTTATTCCGAATCACTCCGGTACACTTATAATAAGTACTTATATTTGGACTATTGTAGCCTGGTCGGGTCGACACCGCTGCGGAGTAACACATACCTGCGTGAATCGCCATAGACATAAACTTAGAGAAGTAGCTCCGGTTGGAATGTTCTTCCGCGGGATGTGTGCAGTTCTGTTTATTAACCGCTAGAGCGCCAAAAGTTACATAGTGCTGCTTTAACTTGGTAAGTTACATTGCATAATATTGATCGCTAAAAATAATAATAATAATGTTGTCAATGCCTGTATCATCAAATCAAATCATAAAAGTTTAAATCCCCTGTTGAAGTGCATGGATGATTGACAGGTGAACTTACAAAACAATTGACACTTTATTGATGTGTATTGTTCATCATCTGTGGTATGATGTCAATTACCACAAAATAATAATATTTAATAATAATAATAATAATTTCAGCTTATCCTTCAGTCTGCAGAAAATAACAAAGGTTGTTGACAATAATGCGCTTACATTGGAACAGTAAACATTAATGTAATTATTGATAGGTTATGACATTACAAGTTATTATGATGAATTTGCTCTGTTGACGACATAATGACACTATACAATAAAACAGTTCATTTAAAAAATAAAATAAAAACACGTTGAGGTGGCCCACAGCTATACCCTGGCTGGGGTTGTTGGTTAATGCCCATTTTAAAACTAAAGGAGGTGAAAAGTCTTATTATTCATGACTTGCCACACCCTTCACTCAGCATCTCTTAAAGTGCCCTCAACCCCAGAACCAGCTGTTGAGATCTTTGACCACTTTGTAGTGCTTATTCCTTCTAATATGATCACAAATCCGACAGGCATGTTCAAGACCAAATAATGTTTCCGTTGAAACAAAATGTTCTCTCCAGGTGAAGTACTGCTTGTACAGGTCCTCGTTTTGGTCCAGGAGTTTCAGATGATCGGCCAGTTCTTTTGGGGATGGAAAGTCATCCACATGGATGAAGGCTTTACTTGGGATGAACAGCTCATAGTTTTCTCTGGACGGTCCAAGAACAACAGGAACGGCACCAAGCGCTAGAGCATTGAACAGCTTCTCGGTCACATAGTCTCTATGAATGGAATTCTCAAACGACAGGTAGAATTTGCAACTGGACACTAAACTGGAATAATCTTTACCATTAATTGGGTTGTTGAAGTGCCTGCCATAAGCTGACACATTAATGAATTTCACTAACTCAGTATAGTATTGTGAACGCTTAAAGTCTGTCTTAAACTTACTCACTACCCAACAAACGAATTTGTCCTTCTTTGGGATAGTATATTTTTTCTCTTCCTCTGTGGTGTCTGTGATCCTACCGTAAGGTACTGGACTATCCGAATCCCCGCGGTAGCTTGAAGTCAGATTAAATAGATCCTTTAGCAAGGGAAGTGGATATGAATTACTTGGAGACTCCATATTCCACCATACCCACTTCTGGAAAGCTGGTCGTGGGAGTTGTGGCATGTTAGATAAATCCCTACGAATATCTCTATGATGAAACATTACCCCATGTGCTTGGTTAAACAGACCTCTGTCATCCGTTAAACGACAGCCATGGATATCGAAAGCCGAACTGCAGGGTCCAAATCCAAAACTGTTGCCAAAAGGCCACATCCAGATCAACAGAATGGTGTCTGGTTCTCCTTTCTCTTTAGATGTTCCTATCAGATGTTTGATGTTCGCAGTGCACTTGTAGTTCTGCATCTTAAGAACACTGAGGCAAGTTTCTGCGCTGATGTTATTTATCTGGACGTGAGCAGCAGTGGATTTGCTGAACAAGTTTTTGGTTGAGTTGTAGCACATGTAGATTGTAAAACATGCCATCAAAAACATGGCGATTGTAATGTTCTGAGTGGTTTTTGAAATAGTTGTGGGCATTTTGTCCATCACTAATGTAGGGAAAAAGATGTCAAATGTCAAATGGATCAATATTCGGCTTAAAATGGTTTTGTGGTCCAGGGTCATCACATATTATAAAATGGGCTTTAAAATATAGAAATGATCATCTAGAGTTGTATGGGAAAATATTCAATAACATTTTATTTTACAGAGTCCTTGTTAAATGTTATTAATACAACTAATCCTAAACCAAACCCTAAGCCTATGAGTACTCATTACCCAGTGCTTAAATATATAATTATACTGTAAAAATGTCACCTTAAAGTGTAAGTCTAAGGACATATAAATGTTTGTATAGCTTACAGACAAAATATTTGCAAGATCTTCCTATGCACTTTGTTATATTAAATGAAGGGCTGTTTTTACTATTCCTCATATGCCTGAATCTCATTTTCCATAGCTTATGTTTTATATCGTAATTGTAAATTTACAGCATTATATATGAGACGTCTGCATCTTTTAATTTAATTAAGGTTCTAAGAGGAAACGGGCATTATGGTTAAAAATGGTTTCTCCTCGTCTCTTTTCTTTCCTGCATCTACTCTCGCGATGCGGTTCTTCCAGTTTTGCTTAGGCTGGTGATACACGCCTTCAGCGAGACAAAATAAGGGACACCCATTCACAAAAAAACCCACCAAGGACACAAATAATCAGTGAGAAACTCATAGCTCAACAGTAAACCATGAGAAAACATGTTCAAGAAGGCTATGTAAACTTGCAGCAGAACACATTAATATTATTTTAAATTTGATTATTTATAATTATTAATTATTATTAGTTTTTTTTTGACAGTTCTGCAGCTGTTCTGGGTGGGATGAATTTTTATTATTTTTTATTCATTTGCCCCATTTTTATCTAAATAATTTAGCATTTTTTAAAACTTTTTAAAATGCCAAATGATTATTTATTATGTATATATTTATGATTAATATAAATGATAAATTAATAAATAGGGTCTAACATAAAATATGCCTATAATCTATTAATCTGTCTAATAATGTCTAAAATATAATAATTATGTCTACTAAGCTCTGATTATGTATGAAATATTATTAACAGACTATCCAAATTTTTATAAAACAACAGGCCTAAAAGCATGGATGTGTCTGTCACTTTAAAGGTATGGTTCACCACAAAAATGGAAAATTATGTCATAATTTACCCAGGTTGTTCTAAACCTGCATTAAGTTCGTTCTTCTGCTGAACACAAAAGAAGATACTTTGAAGAATGTGGGTAACTAAACCGTTTCTGGTCCTCAGTAACTTCCACAGTAGAGAAAAAATACTATCAGAGTCAATGGGGACCAGAAACTGTTTGGTTAGCCACATTCTTCAAAGTATCATCTTTTATGTTTAACAGAAGAAAGAAATTATTACAGGTTTGTAACAACTTGTGGGTGTGTAAACGATGATAACATTTTTGGGTGAACTATCCCTTTAAGTCAGGCAGTCCACTGAAAGCAAACTCTTCATCAGTAAGGTACGTTTAGCCTACATTTGAATGCACTGGATGAAAGCTATTTAGGCTACTAAACTGTATTACATTTTACATTTCCATTTAGTCATTTAGCAGACGCTTTTATCCAAAGCGACTTACAAATGAGGACAATGGAAGCAAATATATTATTAAACAGATGTCACGTAGTTGAATTACAACGTTTCTGTTTTTGACATTCAAATTTTTCAAAATTCAAAATGTTAGAAACCTAAATTTAAAATGACAGCAAGGGTATTTCGCGCCAATTTACATGAATAGTTTGAAAATGATATTTATTTAGTCTTCCTCCCCCCTAATGATGTCCAAATAACACGAAATTCAGCTGGCCTTTCGTTTCTCTTTCAATAAAAACACAACTCCGGTCACATGTATATGTTTATGAAACTTTAATTATTATCATTTTTCCTTTATGCATTTTCCATTTCAACAGAAAAAAATACGTTGACTTACCTCTATTGGACAAGTCGAGAGCATCAAAATGTATTAGACTCAGGTGTGTCCTGAGAATCCTTTTACAGTTCATGTTTGACGCACTTGACGGGTGAGGCGCTGATGATGAAGCTTTACATATTTTGCATAAGATGTTTGGATATTAAAATGTGTTGATTTTTTGAATCGATTCCGATTCCAATTCCTGGTTCTGGAATTGAACTGAAAAAGGCTCTGAATGAGGAGTCGATTCCCCTTGATGGAATCGATTCCAACCTTTGGAATCGACTCTCGATTCCCAATGCCTCGGAATCGATTCTTTTTGGAATCGATTCCCAGCCCTATAGAAGAGTAGCCTAATGTACCAGTTGTTCTTACTCAACGCTTTTATTTTACACATTAAAATATAAAGTTTAAAAAAAGCAGGGTCAGTTTCACAAACCTCTTATTAAAAACCTAAGTCATAATTTTAACTTCATATAACTATAACCTCTTGTCAGTTACTGAATTATTGCAGTTTGTGCTTTTTGTTCTATTCTTTTGCTCTCTTGAACCAATTAAGCGCGCACCACCCATTGTTAACACCGCATTTTTTGAATATTTCCTTTGTAACAAATCTAATCAGAGCTTCTCCCTGTAAGCGTTTGCGCTGTGTGTATGTGTGCAACCGTGCTCTGAGGTGTGTCTAAAAGGCTCTGACATAGCCTAGCCCAGTGAATCTCAACCTTTTGGCGTACCGGACCCCAGTCCAATTCAGAACCATCCTCAAGGACCCCCAGAACAAAATTGACTCATCTATGTATCCTTTGTGTCTTTGTGAGGACCAAATGCAGTCTAATGTATAATTCAAGTTAGGTGACTTGTCCAGTATTTGGCCATATCGTCAGCTATATTGGATTTTTCTTTCATGGGAACATGTCATGTCAAAATATACAAAATGTATACAAAACTTCATACGGACCCCCTGGCCTTACGTCAAGGACCACTAGGGGTCCACGGACCCCTGGTTGAGAAACACTGGCCTAGCCTACCTTATTTGTTACAAATGGCGGGAGCAGCCAACTGTAACTATGTCAGGTGTCGTCCACTTCAGTTATTTTAGCTATACAAAACATTTCATTATGCCGCTTAATACTGCAAACTAGTATTTGATATCAAATCATTTTAATGTATTATCAATCATAAACACTGATTTGTATCGCAAGTAGTTTTACCTTTACTGCACTGTTATTCTTAGTTATTTAGCACATTCACGGAATATAAGGCGGGCACTTAATTGTTGTAGGTTTTTTCTCCACTATTCACTGAAACAACATGTACTGAACCAACAAGTTCCTGCTGTAAATAAATAAATAATTACAAACTATCAACTGTTAACTATTAAAATTATTACCAGTAGTATGTTTTGGGCCATATTCCATTAGGACTCAGTTGTTTTAACATGCCACCAATAGAAGGCAACAACCAACAGGGACCATTACAGTTTCCATTAAAACCAATACAATTCCCATTATAACCATTAAAATAATCACTTTTTTTTCCAGCAGGGATGTTCAGTAATTTACCAAACTTTACATTTCTCTCACCCAAACATATGGTTGACAGCAGATGATGAATCTGTTGGAGGCGCAACCAGGGTTAAGATTACCTGGATCATTTACATATTTAACAAATTATTTGTTTTTTATTCAGTAAGACTGGCAAAACTTTTATTACGTCAAAGTCTGCTCCTGCCAAATGACACGGACATTCTTAGGCCATGTTTTTTCCTCAGCTTTATTTCAACAGGAGTGGACAGGCTTTAGTTAAGCATGGAATGGTGACAATGACAGTCCTCTCTCTCCATTGTGAGTAAGTTATGCTCCTCTAAAGACATGTTCACTGACACCTGCTGGCAGACAGTAGGCAATTAAAGACAAGTATTAGTCTAAGAAAACATCCTCAGCCATATTCACGTGCGAGGACATTCCATCAAGTAACGATTAGTCCGAGACTTCATTTGAATCCTATGTTTGCCTGAAATTATGTACTATATTACAAGCTTTTTACAACTTAAAAATAGATTAATAACTATCACTACCATATCTATCTATGTACTTGTAAATACGTTTCCTTTTTTTTTTACAAATCCCGTACCGACACGTTAATCAGTAAATGTAAGGCAGAACAACAAAAAAACGTTCACAACTGTCCATCTAATCTACACTCCATTTATGAAAAAGTTAGCTCTTCTGCAGATCTGAAATGCAGTCTATTCTCTGGAGAATAAACACAAACGTACAAACAGGAAGATCTAACAATATGACACTGAACAAGCTGTGGATGAACTGTTATCAGTGCCAGCCTGCATGGCTAGGCTGACTGCAAACATCACTGAACATGACTGGTAGTGAAATGACTAGTTACCACATTTCTGCAGCAATACTATATAGTATAAGACAACCGTTCCAGAACCCTTGGTTACGGTCCTTTCATCCAAAGAGCAGATGCATTGTTTAAAAACAGAAGAAAATGAAGCAAAACAGAAAGCAAGTTCACAGCTTTACATGCAAATTTAGCCAGCGTTTATATTGGAGGTCTGTCCCAAAAAAGCAGCATGCACTGAACTTGATTTTTGCAAAGTGATGAAAATCCTAGATCAAGTTCATACACTGTTAAAATGCATCATCAAAGGATGTCTTTGACACAATGCTGCCCTACAAAAGCAGTCCGTAGGCAGCATGTGGACAAGGCCTGCTTTCAACCAGATCACAAACATAATGCAAGCAGCATAGCCGTGCCGTCCTGTAACGGGAAAATGACAGAAAAGCCAGCATTCACAATGAGGTGCGAGGATTATTGCAGGACGACAACTCCAAACTTGAAAAAAAATCCCATGGTCCATCTTTAGAACAAACGATAAAAGGCAATTGACCTACCGGTTTCCCAAAGGAGGATGTGTTACGACTGAAGGAGCCATGCTGATTTATTAATGGCAGAGCATCTGTTGGCACTTTTGGACCTTTCGTTCACAAACTTACCGGAGGGCAATGAAGTCCAACAAACCCCCTGAGAGAACTTAAAGACAATGGCTGTTCCCTGAAAAGGTCACGACCAGGACAAAAGACAAAAA